GACCCACGCTTGTTACATGTAATTGTGTCCTTTTAAAAACACAAGGCAACATGTCCTGTACACTAAATTTCCTCCGTGTAATTTTTCTCTAGCTTTCCAACAGCTTGTGATATCAGGGTTGCCGCAAAAACAACTCATTACAAGCGAAACTACATAAAACGCGCGTGAAGAGTGAAAGAGAGCTGCTCTCGCCTTAGCCCATACCGCGTGTGTCAAGGTCCCTGCACAGCACACTACTATCCCGGACCCAGTTTTTCGCAGGCCGGTTAGTGCTTAACCCAGGGTTAAATTTACGCTGGTTTCATTTTCTTTTGTTCAAAAGCAGTTCTTGGATAATTTTCTCTGTTATTTTGAAGAGCATCCAATCAACAACTTGATGACAGAAAGAATTAAACTGAATTTACTTTTTAAGCTTTCAAATCTGAATTCAAATTTCGCACTAACCCTGGGTTATCTTAACCCAGCTTTGAACAACACGGCCGTGGAGCCTGTAACAGGCTAGATTTTCAAAGATATCTGTAACATAAATCACCGGCTCCAAGCCCAGGGGTGGCCTGGGGGGTGGGGGAGATACTCAACAAGTTTTTATACGGGGAGGCTCCGCCCCGAGGTCCAACCCCTTGCCATTTTAAATACCATTTTTCACGAAGAAGGTACCCTTTTGTATGCCTTTTATTGACGGAGGCACTCCGTTCACATACGCCGTTTAGATCTTTGCATCCCTTTCAGAACTGCTGTAAATGCATTGTCATTCAAAGAAGAATCAATCAAAAAAAATAGAGCGTCAGTTCCCGCCTTTATAAAGCCATAAAATTCATCTGTTCGGCCCTTTGGGCCCTTTCACGGACCCAAATAACAGATTTCTCTACCCTTTCATACACTTCAACGAGTAAAATCCCTACCCCTTTCGGGCGGAGCCTTCCAGAATAGGCCATTACAAGGAGCACCCTCAGGGGCTCCTAGACACTCTGAGAATAAGAAGGAGACTGAAGATGGAGCTGATCGCTAACGAAAGTTTTCTTTTCTTGTCAGAGGTCCTAAGCAAGTATTAATGCAACAATACCCTGCCATTGTTCTCATTTCTACTTAAGCTTTTTAAATGAGTCTCCACGACGCAAAACATGTGCAATACAGCGTCACGGTTTGGGCATCCGATTGAGTACCTTAACCATACAAGTGGACGCATGGATGCATGGTAACTCAGCCGGCAAACGCCATTTCTAAAGTAGCGCTCTGCGCATGGGCAGATGGTAAAACCAATGAAAAAGTTAAAATTCCACCGAACTTCGTTCCATGTGAACCTACGTGCAGACGTCTCCTGTTTCCTTTGTTGTGCCCGACAGGCTTGTTCAACAGGGGCGGATCCAGGATTTTTTTTAGGAGGGGGTGCACTCGTCTCTTGCTCTACTTCAACACCAATAAACCACATAGTTTTTTTTTTTGCAGAATACCAGTTGTAATACTGAAAACCGCAGGTCATCTCAAGGAGGGGGGGGGCGCACCCCTGCACCCTCCCCCTAGATCCGCCCCTGTTCAATCAGTGAAAAGAGCGAAAATATTGAACGGTTCCGTGTGAACGAATGTCTGCACAGTCAGATTTTTCAGGCAGTCGAAAATTCGATCGTCACAGTAGACTCCGGTATCGTACGCGTGAACGTCAATCATGTTGCAAAAAGAAAGGGTACTCGCGCTAACTCGAACCAAAATCAATTTCCCCTGGATTTCCTTTATACTAAAACTTGACAGTAATTTTACCCCCGGTAACTCGAACCCTCGCTAACTCGAACCTCGCGCTAACTTTAACCAAAATCAATTTCCCCTGGATTTCCTTCATACATTTACAGTAATCTTACCCTTGGTGACTCGAAGTAATTTTTGTTTCCCGTCAGATATGTTTTCTATACAATTTTACCCTAGATAACTCGAACCATGTATTAAGAGCGTGACAAGTCGAACAAAAAGCAGTGAACTGCAGTCCAAACGACTGAATTTATTTCAAAACAATCATGTATTCTTCGCCTTTACATTTTCTGCAGTCCATTTCAAATACAATGTTTAGCACTTGTACTGATTAACCAAGCTTTGTTAGGTTAGGTTAAAGGTTAAAGGCTTGTTTATAGTGGAAATTGCACTTAGCTTGTCCAGCTAATTTACAGGCACTCCACTCAAATATTTAGAAACAAATAATTCAAATACAACATAACAGGATTAAAAACCCCAACTGGCAGAAGGCAACCAGTTGGCTATTTACAAGCGTGGCCGAGAATTTGAACTCGGGGCGACCGAGCACATATCCAGCAAGTGGCCAGAACGGGACTCGAACCCGGGACCGCCGGATTGCGAGTCCGACGCGCTGACCACTCGGCCACGCTGCCTTGTTGCTTAATTCCTTCAATTTTCCAAAATATCAATCTATATCTCTTGCTGCCCTAGAAGTGAAGTGTACATGCTTGCATACCTTCCCTATACATTGCTTATTTCCTTATTTCCGGTTATTATTTGCTTCGAATTCCCGATAACTCGAACTCCTGATAACTAACTCGAACTTTTTTCGATTTAACTTGAAGGTTCGAGTCATCGGGAGTCGACTGTACTTTACGTGGTCTCAAGAGCCGGAACTTATTACAGGACGAAAATAAGAGACTACTGCCAGTCTACAGAGAATGGTCAGTAACTAAACACACACTGTCATGTGTAAGTTTGTGATTGGAACAAACAATGTCCATTCCTGTGTGACCTTGTCCAAAACTTGTTGCCGTGGCCTCCTTTTCCCTCCTCTCTCGCCCCAGGGGCCCGATTCTCGAAAGTCTCGGAACATTTGCAGTCCCGAATCAAATGTTCAAATCAAAATCTGAGGAAGAAAAGTGCAGATCCTAGCTAACAGGTAGCGCTTTCCAGCTATCAATAGTATTTCCTGCTGTCATGAATTCGTTGCGAAACAGGATTCATACTTGATTTATCGTTATACGTTTTAACATGTTTTGCAACTAAAGATGTTCAAGTTTTGCCTAGTTCCTAGGCCTCATTATTTCGCCCGGCCAAAGTGTTTCGGGTCAGGTGGTCCGAGCGAACATGTGAGAGGGACTAGGAAAATGCCGTACGGGGACAAGGCAACTTCAAGTTTACGTTTTAACCTTACCCTGATCTTCTCATGTATAGAACATCATTAAACGATAGTGTCCTAAAGCCGTAAAGCGTTAGCCTGAGTATCAGGCGTTTCTGGGGAAAAGGGGAAAGATGGAAGCGAAAAAAGGAGAGAGCATCTCAAATCTCCTCTCCCCTAGCCCCTTAGGAAGGCCTGATACTCAGGCTATAAAGCGTAAACTTTGAAGATATTCTCAACCTACTTTCCTGTCGCTCTTGATGTGCAAAACGACGTTCCAAAATAACAGTGGACCAAAGTTTGCGTGTTCCGGATGATATGAATGCACACCACGTTATTATAGGAAATTAAAGTTCCATGAAATGAAGATGCTGAAAATTAACGCGAATTTAACAAGAATTTAATCTTATGGAAAACGACTTTCGAATAAAGGAAATTAACGCGAAAGAGAACGTAACATTTCATAATGAAGAAAATTAACGCGACGTTCGCAAGAAACAGAAGTTGGTGAGACAACAGAGACAGAGTGAAACAGTATGATCTGAAATGGAAACTTTGGTTGTGGTTCTTTCCCTAAAGGTACAAAGGGGGTCAAACGAAGAGTGAATCTCCCCACTGGTGTCTTTCATTGGTGTCAAGAAGGTGGTGTATCGGGAATTTGGGGTAAAAGAATGGAAATCAAAGTTGCATAAATTAACGCTCCACTAAACTTAATGAAGCGGAAATTAAGTGCGACACAGTTTAAAAACGGAAACGCCTTACCGTTCGTTGCTATCATTGGCTTTGACAGAGAACCCTTAAGCAGACAGGCACGTATATGGACATTTGACGACTGATTCGCTTTCTGATTACACTTCCCGTTGAGAGTTCTTATAGACGTCACTCTCATTTACAGCTAGCCGCTAGTAGGTACTCTGAGTAACTCATAAAAAGATAAAGGTTTTCTTTGATTTTAATCACCAGAAGCATATAACCCCGAAGCGTCTAAATTCCCCTTATCTGTTTAGAACCATGCTCGGGGTTTCTTAGCCGACGCAGCTGTTCACTTAATGACCCGTGCGAGAAGAAGACGAGATATCATCTGGATAATCTCAAACTAGTACAATGCAATTGAATTCAATACAGTTAATAACTGTTAATTCATAACCTGCGAATACAGCCATCTCTCCTTGCTCCTCGCCAAGCGGCGAAAGCAAGGCGGCGAAAGCAAGGCGGCGAAAGCAAGGAGAGACGGCTGCATTTACAGGCGAGTTAATTCAAGGAACTGCCCTCGCTTGCCCTCGCTTGCATGAGAATGGTTACTAATGGACGGTAATCACGTGTCATATGACTGCCTTATCAGGGCTGAAGTTTTCTTTTATTCAAGCTTCTCACGTGGAGATATACCTTAAGTTGTTTGTATAATATGGAGATGTTCCTCAGGGGAAGGCGGGGGTAGGGGGGGGGGGGAGTAGTCCCGATTTTAAGTGATTGAGACAATAGAGGGATCTTGGGGGTTTCAAGTTTTCGATTCCGGAATTTTGGGGGGGGGTATTCAAAACAATCTGAAGATTTGTGTTAATGCCCGCGCAGCCCAGCCGCGCAGTTCTACGAATAAAGTACAACCAAACTTGCTTTTAAAGCTTTATTTTTCGTGTTACATCATTCAAAGCTTTATGGAAATTTTTAAGGCTGGGAAAATCGGCATGGGATTTTTTGGGGGGTTAATTTTTGGGCCAGGAAGTTTTTTGGGTTTTGATTGTTGCCCCGCCATCTGATCATTCCCGTCACCTGAAATCTGGAGTACCCCGACCCCCACCCCCCGGGAGATGAACTATGTTGTTTATAACGTCTGCAGCATTGTAAGTTATCCTTGCTATCATCTCAACGCTATTACTGATGATGATGATCCGGACACTACTCATTTGTATGCTGAATACCGTTTACCATCAACCCAATCTTTCGCTTTGATTGGTGGATATTGGTTAGATCCATCCAAACACGTGACCATAGTGTCATTATCCGGGTCGTGAAACAAAGCTAACGATCGGCGAGGAACCCTTCGTTTGATTTCCTCCTCAGGGATCAGCACTCGATGAACCTGTTTTTTGAAAGAAAAAAAAAATGGATTAAAATGCACAAGCTGCTAAAAAATTTGAAAAATAAAAGAAGCAGAAGTTGAGAAGTTAAGTTTCAACAAGTGTCTTCAGATATTTTAAAACTCGGTCGAAATTCTTTTCCGATTTTGTTAAAAATCCAAGGCGTTTCTGGGCGCCTCTTATCGAAAGCCTTTTTGAAATATAGCCGTTCGTAAATAACCGAAAAAAAAACTACTGGTATAAGGGGATATTCGATCAGATTGTTAAAGCTGCTTGGTGGGATGAATTAGGCACCAAAGTTCACGAATATTACGTGGATAGATTGTTTTCACTTGACCTTACGTCGGCTATTTTTGTGTCCCAAGGTCCCAAGACAATGAAATGTTGGCCATGTTGGTGTCCTAAACCAACAGCTGAACCAATCCTGTGGGAAATAGATTTTTTTCTTCTGTAAAAACTTTCTTTTGTTCCAGTAAATAACATTTATTCACTGACGTGGAGGTGGCTAGTGATGGTATTTACCGAGCCGCGATAATTGTTTAAGTATATATATTTTGTTTGAGCAAAAAAAATGACGGTTTTTAACTCTTTTACTGCTGCCAACGATTACAATTTTGACGCGCAAATGACCGAACGGCCGTTGCGTTTCACCCTTGCCGACAAATAAAACTTTTGAAGGCATATGTTTAGCCGTTTATCGGAGATTTCCGTCTCGAAAAGGAGTTATGATTTCTTTTTGTATTTGAAACCATTCTGTAAGAAACTATTAAATTTAGTTTGAAGCTTATTAATGAACATTTTATGCCAGCTAAATAAAGTAACTCAAGAATTTACTTGCATTTGTAAACAAAAAACTTTTTCACCGGTTTTGTCAATAAATTCAAGTCAAACAGACAAAGCTTTACCTGTTTAAGCTTCCAAACCGAATTTCGTCACCTTCTTCGTGTATTTCGGGAACAGCGTGTTTGATTATTTATGAAATTTCTTTGTTTGTTACGGCAGCAAACCGGGAAACCATTACGCGAGTTTGGCGCCGGTCGCTCGGAGGAACTGGAGGTACGTCAGTCAATAGCAATGGATATCCCGACTTTGAGTAGCCAATCACAGCGCACGAATAACACTATCCACTGTTTAAGTGTATACTAAATTTGAATAGCCGCAGGCCACGTGAGTGACAAGGCTCTTTAACAATTATTCCTCGAGCCGGAATGGGCTCTGAGTCAATAGCCAATAGTCAATAGTCAATAGGTCTGATAGTGACTCAGAGGCAATGAGGGCGACAGGAACAATTGTTTTAGTAAAATCCAACTAATTGGTCAAAAATATCGAGACAAACAACTTTAGCTAGCAAAACGCGATTCAGCCGCCATTGTTTTGGTTTTCAAAGCCGGCGCTTTTCGCTAATAGTGGGCTATAACATATAGCCTAGTAGTAGCTCGACCAATCAGAACGCAGGTTGATAACAGACGACTAGCTGGATTTTACTAAATATTATTAACCGAGCATGGATTGTAATAATGTTTTTTATCAAGGGATCAAGGTCGGTGTTATTTTTTAAACCTACCACAGACTTGTATCGGTCTGATGTCCATCTCTGCATCAAGTCAGCAATGAAAACTAACACTGCTCCTCTCAAGGGCGTGACGGGGGCAAATTGTCCATCAACATTATTGATCACCTGAATCAAAAGTACATACATGCTGTTGAACTATGTTAGCATAAAACAAGGGCGATTTTGAAGCAATATGAAAAATCCTCATGTTCTTAAGAGTGTATATCATTCATCGGGAGGCAAGGAGCACTTCGGAGCGAGATTATAATTTAGTCCAAATTCCTAACGCCATATATTCTTCCAGTGAGTTGAAATGAGTTAAATTGCGGCTTTCATCGTCAAATAATAATTTCCTCTGATACATCTTTTAATAATTTCATCTTATTCACCTTCTAATAATTTTAATAATTTCCTCGAATACATCTTTTAATTCTAGGTAAATACAGCTCAACCAGCTTCAAATTGCGTCCACCGGTAGAATAAATATATGATGACGTGGCCCAGTAGACGACAGACGACTCCTGGCCAATTGGCCGTCTTTTTTTTGTAAACCATATATATATTTTTTTTACCTATAGGCCTGTTTCTCTTCATTTGTACTGCCGCCGCCTTACACGCTCGCGATCAACGAACTTCTGGTAAAAAACGTAAAACGGATAGTATCAAAACTAGGTTTCTCGATGTCTAACCTCCAGTCCACCAACATCATCTTGCAACAGCAGTGTAATCCCACCATAATCTGAGTGTTCCCCGGCGCGAATCTGACCCGGCTTGATTTTACTAAGGTCTGATATCATTGGGTAATAGTTGTATCTTAACTGAGTGCAACCTTCGGAGGTGCCCGTCTTTTGCCAAGCAAAGGCAAACGTATCTGGATCCTGGATGAGAAAACAAAAAGGTGAGGCCGAATAATGTTTTGGCATCATTTGAAAAGTGTACATGAAGAAAAATAACATAGCATTGAGGCAAACCAATAGCTGTCTTGAGACTAGAGCACTGGCTTACAGTTAAATAATTTTGTGCTCTTGCGATCATCGACCTGCTTATTCTGTCATATATAAAAAAGCATGAATTGTAACGGGTTTTATCGAAGAGAAAAATGGTTTACTTATTGTTTTTTCGGGCCAAGCATTAAAGTCTATGTGGGTAGGGTTTCACTGGGTCTGTTACAGAGAAGAACGAAAATTCACGTGGCTTAAACACTTTAGTGGTATTTAAGATTGTTTTCCCTTCTTATACTTAAAACTTTGGACTGAATTACGTTTTAAATACCCACATCCTTTCGCCGATAAGATCATAAGACTAACAACTATAAAATCGATCGTACCAGATCAAGGCTAATGGCTATGACAGACAACATCCTTGCAGCAAGGCTTGTTATGTCCTCGTAAAAGGTTTGGACAGTGCCTTGAAAGTTAGGGACTTCCTCGTTAGGCCACGTCTGTAAAATGACAAGTGACTACTGATTATTGAGAATGATACATTAGCGTTAGTTTAACTTCTGTGCAGTAAATCAGTGCCAGGCAGAAATTGAGAATTAATAATATAACTCTTGTCAGTCAAATGCACAAGTAACTCATGACTAAATGACGTCACTTTGACGGTGCAATTTTCGATCTCTGCAACCATAAACTTGAGTCTGCAAACAAGATCTTTGTGCTCATTCAAAAGACCCTCCCCCATCAGATTTAGGTTTCAGTGGAAAACCGGACTTCACTGCATGATAGTTCAGTTTGAGAGAAAAAGGAATGCGATTTTGAGCATAGAATAAGGTAACTAAGCAATGGAGATTTTTCTTAAGAGTGCTGAAAATCCTCTATCACTGGAACACAGCCCCGTTGAAACTGAAATTAAGATGGCTGAACACAGTTTTGCGGGTGGTCAGCGGTAACTTGCGTGACGGCGCTTGTTTTAAATTAGACAAACAAACATGACGGCGAAAAAGCAATGTTATACAGAAGACGATTTCTCAAAATCTACTCATTAAAATTTTGTGATATTTGACAGAATTTTTACTTTTATGGTACTTTAAATGATGAGAACCTTAAAATGGAAGTTGAACAGACGAATTTTGTGACACATTTAATAATTACAGAACAATTATATTATTCATTATCTAAAAACCCGTCTGTTAAAATTTGATAAAATAAGTTTCAAATGGTAATGATTAATTATAGTAAGCTGTGTGCAAGTTTATAGGAAAATCTAATGAGGAAATTTTATGTCAACTATTTTAAGGTTGTATTCAATCGTTCATGTTGCCATGGGAACTACGAAAGCGTCAAATTTTACTTGTCAATCAAAATCTTTCATCAGTATATTCAGTTTTACTTTTCAAGTTTCAGCTTTTGAGCTGCAACCTTTCTCTTGCCATGTCTTGGCAAATGACATATACCAGGAGGCCATAACTCCTGCATATACTCACAAGCTGTCAAAACTGTGTTCAGTCACCTTAACTGTCATTTGTTTGTCGCGGATGGGGGTTGGCTCAAATCGTGTTTCTAAGTGGTTTCTCGCAGAGTTTCCGAGGCACTGCTCAAAGAAATTTTATCTTGATCGCAAAAAAATAACTGACACTTACATAATTTTCATCTTCCAGTCCGCAGAAATCAAACGATTCCTTGAGGTCCGCAGGTCTTTTCATATTGCCGGTGGCTCTGCAATTTGACACACAGGTTCGGCGAAGTCTGCATATTAGTTGTTGGAAAAAAGCTCTCTCTAACGAGTACCTGTCTACAGTTTTTGTTATGTCTAAATCTGTGAAAGGTTTGAACCCTGGGCTGGGTTGTTCAAAGCAGGGTTAGCATAACTCAGGGCCTTAGTGCAAAATTTCAACTCAGATATGAAAGCTTAAAAAGCAAATTCAATGAGTTTTATTCTTTTTGTCCACAATTTGATGATTTGATGCTCTAAAAAGAATCGACAAAATTATCCTGAAAAATGCTTTTGATCAAAAGAAAAAGAAACCGGTGTTAAAATTTTACCTAGGGTTAGCGCTAATCGGCCTTCGAACAACTCAGGGGCGGATCCAGGATTTTTTTTAGGAGGGGGTGCACTCGTCTCTTGCTCTACTTCAACACCAATAAACCACATAGTTCAGTTTTTTCTTCTTTTTTTTTTTTTTTTGCAGAATACCAGTTGTATTAGAAAACCGCAGGTCATCTAAGGGGGAGGGGGTGCGCACCCCCTGCACCCTCCCCCTAAATCGGCCCCTGCAACTGGGCCCAGCTGCAGGAGTCATTTCCTAAGTAGGTTCATTAAGCATGGTCGTCTGGGTGAACGTAGTCCTGAATGGAAGTTTTGTTGCCAGTGACTGTTGTTTCGACAACCTCTGCAGTAGTCATCTTAAGAGTTAAAGTGAGTTGTATCACGTCAGTTGATGGTATTTGAAACTCTGGTTATTCACAATCGCGATGTTATTGGTCCTCTGTCAATTAGGCCGACTGTAATATTATCGGCTATGAGGACTTGAAATGTCATTAGTCAGGGGCACCCAACCCCGGACTGTTTTCTGTAAAATATCTGTTTGGAAAAACAAATATTGCCTAGAATTTTCTACTATTTGAGGACGGATAAAGATTTCTAGGTGACAGTTCTATTCATGTACAATTTTCGAAGCTTATCTGTCAGTGATAAAGTCGCTACGATTTTCTAATACGTTAAATTGCATCTAAAATCTTCGGGAACGTAAAACAGAACCTCTTGCAATTTCGAAAAGACTCATTAAGTTCCCCTGATCAACGTACAAATGTTAAATAACGCGGTTTATAATGCATTTCTAAAGATCTTAAAAATACTCTATAGATAGCCTAAAAAGTGTTTTCAATGTATTTAGGACGAAACAGTCTTTTGGTGCCCCTGATAAGTGGGTTACGATCCGTAACGATTTCTCAGCACGATTTCAGGATAAAAATATCAAGCAATGTGTTTAACGTAATCTTGCATTTCTTGTTTTCAGCTATTTCGTCTTCGGATAGCTGTGAACGTCATTTCATTAACTTCATTATATCCAAGTAGCCTCGTTTCCAGGCAAATATACAACTGAATGCCGGACACTTGGGTCTGTACTTTTTGGACTCCAAAAAAGGAGGTTTAATTTGAAAGAATTTTCTTCGGTAGAGGTATGTAATTCGAGTAAGAATACCTTTCGCTTTCAAGCTTATCCCAGCCATTCTTCAGAGTCGTTCCGGTTCTCTTTGCGTACTTCTTCTTTACATCAATGTTTAAGTTAAAAAACTTGTCATAAGTTTCGAAAGTAGTGTCAATCTGCAAGATCATAGGATTATTAACAAAGTGAACCACAAAGTGATTTGACAAATACTAGAGACATTGTCTCCTCTAAAAAAAATTATCCAACAGACAAATAATCGAATTACGAAGAAATTAGACGGGCTTATTAGAAAAGGAGAGACTTGCCGTTTCTTGTGGGATTCCATGGTTTGTAATATAAACGACTCCAATTGTGCTGAAAGCTTGGTATACTTGATTAGCAAGGTCTTTAACAGCTTGGTTGCTTCGATCGGGATCCTTGACGTCTAGGCTCATTGCGCTAAAATCTACAACTGGAATTGGACATGAGGGATAGGGTGCCATGCTAAAATCACCACAGTTGGTACTAGCAGACCCTGTTGACGCTAAAATAAAAAAAAGAATAATGAATTGGATTTGCCGTGATGGCCGAAATATTTTACGGCAAGAGTGAGAAGCATTTCAAGAAAAACGTCAGGGACCAGGGTAAATGTAATACTAACATTTTCAACAGGGAAACGTAACTTCTAATCAAGACGTAGGATAAACCGCAAATCACCGTTAAATACTCAAATGACCTAATGACTAATAGTAAAGGGTTATACTGTTGTGAAGTATTTTGAAAGTTATTTTTAAGATTTGAGTTTTACTCTCTAAGTTTCCTTTTTTTTTTTCATTAAGTGAGTTAAGGTTAGTCTTGATTTTGTCACATAGGTGTTTTCTTGTTGTCATCTTTGTTTTTAATCTTCAAATGACTTGAATTTTTGCTTAGCTCACGAGTTTACTGAATGTTATTTTAATAGGAATATTCTTCGCTTCCCATTGTCATATGTTAGTTTTTCATGGATGGTCCGCGTGTACCTTGGTACATTAGTCTCGTTGAAGTTCCTGTTTGGGTTTTTTAACCAGCGTTTTAGTTTTTCATTGCCTTGGTTTGTAGCTTCTTGCCGATTGGAACTATGTAGGTTCAGTAATACCAAAACATAACCCACACCGAGTTCATCTTGATTTTATCCCCATGGTCAGTTAACCCAAACACGCGCCGAGCTTTGGCTATAAAGACCGCTACTATATAGTTGAACTAGTTGGTTAGGATTGAGTAGAGAAGAAGAGTAAGAAGATTTTAAAAGATTAAGATTGTTAGCAGAAGTCAAAGATGAATAAAAACCAAGAGGTAAATCAGATTCTTCAGGCTAGTACTTCATCGTGTAGCAGGCGAGTTGCTCAAACACACTCCCACAATACCTAAAAATATTTTTGGTCATAAATTAAGCGTATCAACTTTCAATTAATACATTTTGTAATTTGCTCCTTTATAATACTTTATATTTTACATATTTACTATTTTTTTGGATAGAGTAAAAATTGTTCATATATGTCAAAACAAACAAGATTTTTGAAATTATGGGATCTGGGGAGAATTTTCAGAAAGAAATATAATAATAACAGCAGTATGAATCAGAAGGACTAAACATGTTTGCCTGCTCTTTGTTCCAGTTTTCACTGATTGCCATGGGCATGAAAGGAGCCACATCAAATAATAGCTGCATTAGTTTAAGATTCATAAAAATGAGAGGTTAGAAGGCATATTTTATTAATTTTGACATAATACCAAGAAGGCAGAATTCAAATTAAGAACAGAAATTATTTACACTATAAACTTTGATTTTTGCCACATACTGCATTAAAGTACATTGTGTCCTCATGATAGTGAGTCATATGATACAGCCTCATCCAATTTTATTTTTTATGATTGCAATAACAATATATATTTAATGATGACTGCAATGAGGATAACTGTTTTTACTTACTGGTTCCTAGGTGCAACGTGTCACACTCCTGTGAGTACTTTCTTAAAGGAGCATTGGCCAGAAGTCTCGATGATACATGGTCAAGGCCGCCAGGATGCCATTCACTTCCATTTTTTAACGTTCTAATTGAAAATGTGGTCTTGGATGAATTACATCTAATGCGGCGTATTACAGACAGGATGGAAGAAGGGCTTATCCTTGACATTCTAAAATGGGATTCAGTAAGTAAAAGTTAATAACCATGTTGATATGCGAAGAAACTGATCTTTAATTTGAAAGAAATCATCAAGAAATAGCAGAGCATAGCAAACTTTATTCTGGCAATATTTTGGCTTTAAAATTGGTCTGACTAATACTGTTATGTAGTGAATTAATATTACTCTAACAGAGACTAAGCTAAATCACAACCTATTTGTAGTTTTGCAATCGTAGGTACTACGTATCCACTAATGAGAATTAGTGGATAGCACCTACGATTGCAAAACTCAACAAAATGCCGCTTTAACCGGCCAGGAAGAAGAAGGAGACGTTCAGTTAAAGGTATCTTAGCTTTGTTTTGTTATATTTTGACTTTTGGACTATTTTAGTTCATGGGAGTTTCGACGACTTATCCCATTTTGTCCATGTGAATATTAATTAATTCTCGATTTGCTCGAACTGGGGCCGCGAGGAATCGGTAGGTAATGATGACGTTTCTATCGTTTGCGTCCGCAAGTACGAAATGGTTAGGATGACGTAAAGACAGAAAATCCCTAAGGGACCGCTCAGGTTGATTTTGTGACATTTATTGTGCAGTCATACTTCGATAATCTTTTGCGTTACGTAGTGACATTCTGTTGAGCAGTTGTTTTGAAAGTTATGGACTAAAAGACACTCGTTAAGCGCAGAGGAGGTTATAAGGTGCGTTTCACTGTGTATATATAAACACTTGGAGAGTTTGCCAGACACGAGTTAACAAATCTTTGATTTATATTGGAAACCTTGCCAGACATTCTTTCTCTCTCTTTGACCGGAATAAGACTCAGCCCCAAACAAGCAAGACGAGTGAACAACGGCTGGATTATCACTAGCAGATTGATGGACATTTACAGAAATTCGCCGACAATCAAATTCTGTGCTGCATGACGTATTCCCTGCTCACAGATGTCCCTCCGTTATAAAGTTTCAAATAAGACTAGAATGCGCTAGCGTGAATCGATCAAACATCCTTTTAATTTCTAAGGCTTACTTTCCGGCAAATAAAATGAACTGAATGTAAAAAGGGAAAGAGAAATAGCGAAAGATTCATCTTCTAATTAAATCTTTTCTTATTGTCTAGAATAAACTATTCTCGAAACTGAGAATGTTTTGATCAAAGCTGTGTAAATCGAGCTGAAACTGTGCATGGAACCTTGCGTTTCCTGTATTTATCTCACCCATTGTATGGAATATGTGTGAAAATCTTCATTATGAATCGGTATATTTCAAAAGAGCTACACAACCAGCAAGAATACTATTGACCGACAATATACAGAACGGGGGCAGCTGTAGTGTCAACTATTACTAGTGTATCTTTTATAGGACTGCACGCATGTAAACTTACTTTAAAATCTTAGTTTTGTATCTTGTTTTAGTATTCGTAATTTAGCCTACAGTCTTCTTTTCTGTATAATACAATTTCTGTCATTCTGACCACAGGCCTTATAAGCCCCTTTGGCTTTACTGATCTTTTGTACCTATGATTGATGGAATAAAAGCGTCGAACTTGGAAAAACTAACCTCTCAGCTTTTGGCCACTTGATGCTCGGTTTACAGTTCATTAAACACTAAATATGCGCAAATGGGACGCTTGCATGAACACTGACTCTGATCTACATTTGCATATCAAGGAAAAGTCTACATGCGAAGAAAGCTGATTATAGCGAAACAGCTGTCTATGGCTACAATCCCGCTCTGTTTTGAGTTCTTTCGGTGTCGTGTTGATGTTTTGCAAAGTTAATTTTCAAGTAGTACGATCAGCATTGCAGTATTCTGCTTGCAGAATGTAAAGTCTACTCATGAACAACCTATTCATTAAAACAATAACCATTTAGACACATTTCTTGAGATAAACAAGAGAACGTTATTGCCATTGATAGAAAACCGAATATAGAAAAAGTAATATAAACAACTATATTTCAATAAAAAAAATCGATCAGTCCTCATCTTGGTACCTGGAATATTCTTATATAGTTCTATATCTTTGACAGCGATGATGTCTTCTCTGTTTTTAAGAGTCGTTATCATCTAAGCATAGTTAATCTAATAACTATGATCTAAGTAACTGACAAAGTGAATGCGGCGCCTTTTTCCCTTGGGTCCTCATTGTAATGGAGTTTCTACTGTCAGTAGGAGGGGGAGTCAGGATGAAAGGATTTGACACCAAATTTGACACTGATTTGACACTGTTTATTCCTTTACTTGCTGTTGCATGTGGATGTCAAACTGTTGGCCCATTCACCTGTTATTTGAAACTCAGGTATCTGTCTTGCAACTGAAAGTACCTCCCAGTCTCTGCTTTTACATCGTTACTTGGATCAGTGCGAAAGAGAACATAATCAATACTTTCTTGTACCTCTTGCATTGCAGGAAGAAGCGGACCAGTCGATAGATTTTGCTCTTTCAGATACCGTACGATTTCTTTTGAAATTTTGCTTTGCGTTTCTGCTTGACTAAACCCTTCTTCACCAGGTAGTACATTTGTTCGCAATATCAAGGCTCTGTCCTCGAACCTATTCTGTTCCAACTTTATACAGCACTACTGGCGGACGTTCTGCGGGTTATCATAAGATTAAAGCAACTGCATTTCTTCGCTGACGATGCTCAACTATACAGTCTCCTTTTCACTAAAAATGACCTGGAATTAGCCAGTACCATTGCTAACATACAGGATTGCTTGTCAGATCTTGATAAGTGGATGTTTCTTAACAAGCTGAAACTAAACAAGGACAAAACTCAACTTCTCTATCGGGGGTGGAAGCGGAATCATGAATCATGAATCATAGTTACAAAACATGTAAGAATCATGAATCTTTGTGTTAAAAACTTGGGAATCATGGATCTTTGTACTTCGGCTCGGGAATCATGAATAACGAGACTCTGAGAAAAGCTCAACAAAATACACGTATGAATTAATTTCGTTCGATCCAGGGAATGCAGGATATCATGGCGTTTCCGAGAGTCCAATTTTCAAGATTTTTCCTGGGAAACCTGCCGCCGGACCCCCTATATAATTCCTGCATTCGGGGCTGACAGTCCGCTTGTTTCTCTGATAACCTTGTGCTTAATGTTCAGTCACAAAAAACTCCATGCCAAGACAAAACGAATGATGATACCTGAGTCTGAATGAAGCAGAAGTTAGAACACCAAAGAATACAAAACGAGACTAAGAGCCTGTTTACATGGAGTGGGGGACCCCGGTCTAGTGGGGTTGGTTTCTTTTGTTTTCACGCTCTGGGGGACACATCAATAGGTGATCAGAAGTCTTCGTGAATCATGAATCTGGAGGAAAATTCTTGTAGGAATCATGAATCATTGAAGCAAAAACGACAGGAATCATGAATATCAAGATTCAAATGATCCCGCTTCTACCCCCGATTCTCTCCCCTAAACACTGTCCTATACAGTCTCCGCTACCACCATTTCGCTTTGGAAATGATACAATTATCCGGTTCTGCCAGAAACATCGGTGCCATTTTTTGACAGCACTATATGTCTATGCTACCTCGTATCAATTCTGTTTGTAAATCAGCCTTATACTATCTGCGTAACATTTCCCGCATAAGAAATTCTTATCCTTGAAGATTTCCGAGATTCTTGTCCCTGCTTTTGTATCTCAAGCTTGGCTACTGCAACTCTGTTTTGTATAATGTGCCGAAGTATGTTATGTAAAAGCTCCAACTGCAATCGGTACAGAATGCTGCCGCCCACCTAATTACTTTCTCTCGCATATACAACCACTTCACTCAAATTCTGTGCGATCTACACTTGCTATAAATGAGCGTATTAAATTCAAAATTCTGTTCCTCACTTTCAAGGCTCTACACCAACAAGCACCCACCTACGTTCAAGATTTGGTAACTGGCTATTCACCACCCAGAAATCTCAGGTCATTTATTTTATTACGCATGAATCCTGTTAACTTTAATATAAAGTCCTGTCGGTCTAGAGCCTTCGCTGTTGCTACTCCTGATCTGTGGAACAGTCTTCCAGACAACATCCTTTCATGTGACAACTACAGCTTTTTCTGAGTTTTTTCCAAGACGATAAAACATCACCACCTGACGTTCTCAGTAGCTGTTCATTTATCCCTAGCACGCATTTTTAGGCAAGTTTAGTGATGGTCAGTTACTATGGTTACGAAAGATGACGTCATAATTAGCAGGTGGTCTTTTGAGCGAAAATGCATGTTTTCTCAACAATAAGCAATAGTAATAAAGATTGTTGACAAAATGATGTAAAGTGTTTATTTATGTGTTATTTAAAATGTCAAGCACAAAAAATTACCATTTCTTGCGGTTTTAACCTGATTTCTAAATCTTGCATAACAGGCCAGAGCGCCGATTTTAAGTACTAGGCGACTTTGAAAGACGCGTGCTTCACATATTTGTGGCGGATTAGAATGCCGGCTTGGTCAGAGGCCCTTTGTTTAAAACATGGCGGGATACTCGCAGCTTAAGGCAAGCATGTGCCTTGTAGCTGTCAACATAATGCTTTTTAATTACATTCTGTCATAATTAACAAAACGCGATCCATGTTTGATTGAAAGTAATTGTACAAATCTGGTACCAGACAAACCGCTTTTAAAAAACAAAAACACAAAACTAGTTTATGGTTATTTCTCATTAATTTCACTTGATCAAAACAAATATTTACTTTTATCAGTTTTCCCGTTTCTTTCAAAACATCCTTCATTTCCGCGCGTTTCACCGTAGTCAATGAAAGATGCGTTTTATCGGTCTTCTTTTTCGCGGGAATATCAAAATTTCCATCTTTCAAAACGCGATGAACCAAAGCTCGCAGGATACCAAAGCGCCAAAGGCGCACGATGCAGTCCCGGTGTTTTGTGAGCATCCGTTAAAAATATTGAACGCCAATTAAAACTATCAAGTTTTGGTACAGCGAGAGGCAGCTAGTTTCTGTACCCTAAGGTTAGTGCATGGACAGGCTATCGAAAGAAAATAAAAG